TATATTTTTATTGGTTTTGTTCTTTTTTTGTCCTTTTTAAGAGAGGATCTCCCTGTAGCTCTAGCTGACCTGGAACTCGCTATGTAGACACATTTGACCTCTATTTCAAAGAGACCTGCCTACCTCTGCTTCCTGAGTGTGGTAATCAACGTGTGCACCGTCACACCCAGCTTTTTTCAGTGTAGGACTTCTAATCTGAAGCTTATAATATTCTTATAAAGTACCATTTGCCTTTTAATTTACTTTTTATATAACATAATCACTTAGAATAGAAAATGATTCTGCCTTTTAGAACCCCTTTTCATTCATCTATTTGATTATAAATGAAATTGCTCATCTGAAACTGAAACAACAATAAACTAATATTTTCACAATTTTACTAAATCATCAAATGATAACTACAGATAAGAAATCACTCGGGAAACACAAAAGTAAATAGTAACAGATTTATACATATTTTACTCAAAGATTTTTGTTGAAATTTATAAATAAAAGCAGCGTATTTGAGAAGCAATCTGTAATACATTGTAGCATCAGTTGTAATATGAATGTTGGTTTTAAATTTGAAAGTTAATATTTTATTGAATATTTAAGTTCTTTAAATTCATATAAACTGCTTTTTTATTATACTAGCTTTCTGTTAGCATTCATTGCTATACTTAATTAAATCTTCTTTGGCAGTTTCCAGTTTCAAGAATTCCTTGCATGTTCACAGACATCATTTTCTCTACTGTAAAGCATTTGTTTCTTGATTTGCTGAGTTGAACCATTCAATTTAAGTCATTAGCTAAACAGAAGTCCTCGGTTTATGCTAATATTGTTTTGTCATATTGTCAATCAGCAAGTATTATAGAATGACACAATGGCAGTGAATGTCATTGTCGTTAATCTGAGAAAGCTTCGGGCTTTCCTTGGCAAAGACCAGAGGTAGGCCATGTCAAGGTTATGGAGAAGCTGTAAATTTTCTTCAGCTTTAGTAGTTAGTCTCATTTCTTTGTAGTGTCCTTATGTGCTATTTAAGCATATCTCTACAATTATAGGTGGCAATGGAAGGTGGTTTGTGTTTAAAGGTAAGAAAATTAAAGTTAAAAGAGTTTAAGAAACTTATTGAAGATGTCACAGCTTGGTATGGTAAAGCCTTGATTAAAGACTAAATCTGCTGCAACCCATTTTCTTGTATTTCAAGTGCCAATGTGTAAAATCGGAAGAGGTATGGTATGTGCACTCTGTTTGCATCTTTCCAGCAGAGTAGTTTGTACTGGGAGTCAGGAGTCAAAAAGGCCAAGATGATAGTTGATTCTATGTTGCAGAGTAGTCAGCTTTTTTGAAAATTGCCAAGTTTATACACCAGACGTGACTTTACTGGCAGATAATGGAATATTTGATCAGAATATTTGGTAATAGAGCTTTACATATTAGAAAGAAATTCTAAGGTAAATATATAATATATGCAAATCATGTCTATTTCTTTGCTTATTTTTACGGTAACTCGTATTTTCTCCTTTCAAATTTTGCAAACATTTCTGTATTCCAAGAAGACCTCTTTTCCTTTGATGGCTTATTTGCCATTTTCTTGCTAATCTGATTCTGAAGTATATATATGTACCATGCAGTAAACAGTAGCATTGAGTTGACAGCCTGACTACCTGAATCCCAAGATCCTACATGATAGAACAGGAGAACTGACTCCTGCAAGTTGTCCTCTGACAATACCACCTATGCCATTTCATACCCCTGTCCCCTCCTCATATACCAAAAACAAATAATTTTAAAACTTTTTTTAAAAAGAAAATAATAGCTTTGTTTTTACACAGTTCAAGTTACAGCAAGTAAAATCCATACTACAGTGCTTTTGCCCTGTGGCTGTAGTGAGTGTACTAGTTAGGAATATAGCATGAAAGGATCCCAAGTCCAAATTTAAAGCTGTCTTTTTGCATAGAAAGTTACTACTGTGGACATATAGCAATAGCCGTACCTAGCTGACATACACAGAAGAATAAACTTCAGTAAAGTACCTACAGTCGCTCCTCAAAATCACTGCAAGACCCTTTTACTCACCTCTTAATAACACTAATGTCAAGGTAAATTTTACATTAAGAAATACTAATTTTAAAGCTGGGTGTGGTGGCGTATGCCTTTAATCCCAAAATTTGGGAGGCAAAAGGAGGAGATCTCTGAATTCGAGGCTAGCCTGGTAGAGTGTTCCAGGCCATTTGGGGCTACAGGGAGACCCTGTCTCACAAAGACCAAAATGGAAAGGAAGGAAGGAAGGAAGGGAAGGAAGGCAGGCAGGCTAATTTTAAATTCAGGTCAATCTCTTCCTTCTTTCCTGGGTACTATCATTACTAGTATTCATATATAGATAATGCTCAATTTAAAAAATTTTAATATGTCTATGAACATGATCAATTTTATGTTCTTTTGCTAACTTATTGAGATCTAACTTCACTTTCTCAGAGTGGTTATCTGTGTGTCAGCTTTACAAAGAATGGAATTGCTTTCTTGCAACATTCTCTAGAGATTGGTACTACTCTCTAAATAAGAGTGACATTGGTTCTGTGGATACAGCTAATCTAGCTGCTAGCTTCCCATGCCACACAGCTGCAACTGTAAGATTTAAACCAAGCCTGTGAATTGGTGTGAGAAGAGTTGATGATGTTTGTATGCATGAATTCTGACCTAGTAGGTACAAGCCATTCCTGTGGCCTCCAATTATAAAAGAAGAAGGGCTTTGCTTGTTTCAATTGCTAACTAACCATGCAGTTTAAAATCTTCTCAGCCATTTCAGGATCTCTCTCCTAAATTGTAATATGCTTCCCCCAGAGTACCATAAGGCACCTGAAGATGTGTGTGCCTGCTGCTAATCCTGACTCTGGGTTTTTCTTCTATATCACTGTTTGAAAAGCCAGATCTATATGTTGCTTGACTAGCATAGCAGACCAGAAATAGAGTGACCATTTTGAAGTCATTTGTTTAATTGCTTCTTAGGATAAGGAATGGTTTCCTAATAAAATACCTTACATTCTATAAGAAACATGTTCACAAGGGCAGAAGTCAGTACAGTAGTCACTGAGTATTCAGAGCATTAGGAATTTCTCTCCCTAATCCCACTTTAGTCATAGGTGACCAAGCACAGCAGCTATAATCTGTTCGGATACTGTAACATTTATTAAAACTGTTTCACATACCCTGTGCCCAACTGTTAATTGGCTGATTTTTTTTCATACATGCAACATGCCCAGAACACAAACAGCAAGAATGTAGGAATTTCAACTTGTCTTAGTGTCATTTTGAGAGTCTTTATTCTTAAAAGTACTTTCAAAATCTTTTACACTTTATCTTCCTAATTTGACTGACTTTTCAGGATTAGAAAAATATTTTTAAACACTAGAGTAAAACAGACAAGAACGTTTTTATGCCTTGTTATATGTCTTAAAGAAATTTAATGTTTAATACAAAAGACCATATGCAAAAGTTTTCCTTTAAAACTGATCTCTACATATCAAAATTAGGCAAATATTACAAATGAATAAAACGAGTTATTCTTTTTCTTTATAACACATTTGTTGATTTTATTCATTGTGTTTCTCAAGTCTTATGAAATTGCTACTTTAGAAAATGGAAAGAGGGGCTTAGCTGTTAAAAGTACTGGCTGCTCTTGCAGAGGACCCAGGTTTGGTTCCCAACACCCACATGACAGCTAACAACCATCTGTAACTCCAGTTCCAGGGGATCTGACAGCCTCTTCTGACCTCTGCAAGCATTGCACAGCATGAGTACACTTAACATACATGCAGGCAAAATACTAGTATAAACATAATATATATTATATGAATTTTATATAAATTAATTGGTTTTTTTTAATGAGCTAGGTGTGGTGGTACGTGCCTTTGGTCCCCAGCACACTGGGGAAGCAGAAACAGGTAGATCTCTGTCAGATTATGACTAGCCAATCTACATAGTCATTTCCAAGCCAGCTGAGGCTAGAGGGAGATCCTTTCTCAAAAACAAAGCAAAAGGCAGATGAGATGGCTCAGTGAACAAAAGTACTTGCTGCAGAAGCCTGAATACCTGAGCTCAGTCCCCAAATCTTGCAATGGAAGGAGAGAACTGGCTTCCTAAAATTATCTTCTGACCTCCACATGTACACCACGGCCCATGTGTGGACACACACACACACACACACACAAATAATAATGATAATAAATAAGCAAAAAGTAAATGGAAAATAGGTCAGTATTGGAATGGTAAGAATAGCAGATCTGTATTCTTTTGTGGTTGTATATAGTCTTGTTAATAGAAATCCACAGAAGCCAGAGATTTCCTTGTGGTGTTAATAGAAATAGTGCCTGACTAAAAGACCTGATATCTTCAGATAAGGTTATTTGTCTGTTATAAGCTATTCATGTATGTCTATAGAAAGCTTGCTTTATCTGGGTTGAACATCCCTAATCCAGAATCCTAAGAGCCTCGCATCCAAAGATTGTTGAGCACTGTGATTCCACAAGTGGAACATTCCATGCCTGATTTTATGTGATAGGTCTCAATCTAAATGTAATTAAACTAAAAATACTGTGAAAAAATTACCTCCAGGGTATGTACATAAGGTGCATATAAATTTGTATCCTTTCCCAGGGAATCCCCTTATGTATAGATAGATAGATAGATAGATAGATAGATAGATAGATAGATAGATAGATAGATAGATAGATAGATAGATAGATAGATAGATTGATTGATTTAAAAATCCAAAAACATCTGAAACCTGAAACACTTAAAGTCCCAGTCATTCCAACTAATGATTTTCAAAAATTGTGGTTGTTTAGTAAGAAAGAGGGGTACATGGAGGTAGGATAGTTGGAAAGAGGTAATTTGCTAGTATTCTTTTATTAGTAGTATAATATACCCTATATTTAGTCATTTGGCCTCTCAAGAAGTATTAAAAGTAAACCCTAGAAAAGCCCTACTTTTTAGTAATTTTTTTCCAATCTTAATGTTAGGTCTTCAAACATGAACTAGCATACGTACTGACTGGAATCCTTGGAGCAGCAATAGATTATTGGATCTTCGTTGGCCTTCAGATGGGTAGAAATGTGATGCGACACATGTCTGATGACTTAGGAAGTTATATTTCTCTGTCATGTGATGGTAAGTGTGTCTTTGTTTTTAAGAACTCATTCTGGAAATTAATTTTGAGTTTTCTTTAGGGAGCCTGTATTTTTTAATCTATTCATATATGATGTTTTCCTTGAAATACTTATAGATACACATACACACATATCACATACACAAAGACAATATAAAAAGGAAAATAAAAATGTTTTCATAATGGTCCCATATAGTTAGCTACTGTCAACTTTTAAATGTCTTTCTAAGCATTTATACACTAATCGAATTTGTACTACATAGAAAATTTTGTGTTTTTGTTTTCTTCTATGATGATTTCATAAAATGTGAATATTTCAGGGCTGGAGAGATGACTCAGCTGTTAAGAATCCTGACTGCTGTTATTTCCAACACCCACATGGAGGCTAGAAACTGTCTGTAGCTCCAGTTCCATGGGATCTGACACTCTCTTCTGTCATCTGTGGGCATTGCATTACACAGGTGCACTTACATACATATAGGCAATACACGATATACATAAATTTAAAAAATTTTTAAAGTGAATATTTCTAAGATAGTATAGAAAGCACTATCTGGAAATTATTACATAGTTATATATAATTTTATTAATGGTTTCCTTATCATGTAACTAAAAATTATAGGCCATTGCTTGCAATTAACAAATTTAAAGTAAGTTTATTCCCATTTCAATGTGATGGCATGGTAATTCAAGCCTATAATTCCAGCACTTGGGAGGCTAAGGCAGGAAGATTTTAAATTCAAAGCAAGCCAACCTCAACTCCATAGTGAGAATCTATCTCAAAAAAAAAAGAAAGAAAAGAAAAAGGCAGCAACAATAAAAAAACAAGCAAGAATCTTGCATGTTAAGAAGTTATTTCAGTATCTTTAATATTTATTTTTTTAATCTTTTTAATTTATTTTTATTTCATGTGTTTGAGTGTTATTTTGCCAGCACGTGATTTAAATGCATCCGTGTATGCAATACCTGCAGAGGCCAGAAGAGTGCATCAGAACCCCTGAAATTGGAATTTGAGGAGGTTGTTAGCCACAAGAGCAGCCACTGTTCTTAACTGCAGAGCCATCTCTCCAGCCCCTCTTTAACATAATCATTCACATGGAGTAGAAACTGTTATAGTCTGACCTTCTTTGTGCCATGAGAATAATTCTTATGTCTTTTTCCTGAAATTCAGTGGCCGGGCATTGGTGGCGCACACCTTTAATCCCAGCACTTGGGAGGCAGAGACAGGCGGATCTCTGAGTTCAAGACCAGCCTGGTCTACATAATGAGTTTCAGGACAGCTGGGGCTACAGGGAGATCCTGTCTCAAAAAAGACCAAAATAAATAAATAAATAAAAAATAATAAAGTGAAATTCACTGAGCTATAATACTTACTACAAAGCCCCTGTATTAATTCCCTATATTAATTTGGCTTATAAAATTTTCATTATGTATCAGTTGCTGTTGCAGTGTTCTTAATATTTTTTTTAAAGAACCTGTTAGTTTTTTTATTGAGTCTCGTCTAAAGATATTGGATGGATTAAGCAAGTTGAAGTTGTTTGTATGTGTAATTTCCACATTCTTCCTGTTCCCCGTTATTTGACCATAAGGTTTCCTGTAAAATAATTGGGAGGAGCAGATTGAGTAGTATGCTCACAGACTTGTTTTCACAGTGCTTACCTTATGAAAAGTTCTACCCGACTTTTGGATCTCTACACTAAGGAAGGCTTCCCAAAGACCTTATTATATTGTATTTCTGATATATAACCAGCTTCAGAAGAATCTGGTCAGCCTTGCTTCCTCCTTCTTGTCGCACGTGTGTGCCTGTGTATCTGTAGCCTTAAATTCTTAACGTTTTGAACCAAATGAACTTCCCTGACCTTCAGCTCCAAATCATGTTTTTTTTACATTTTGAATTGTCATTATTTTAGACTGCATTGTTTTTAAAGAAAAAGTTCTTCATCGATTGTCAGTCACTTTAATTCTTTAAAAAAAAAAAAAAATGCCAGAATTGAAATCCAGGTTATAACAGAATTTACAATTTATTTGATGGCACCTTCTGAAAAAAAGCTGTTTGAGGTTGTTTTTATTTGTTTTGTTAAACCAAATTAGATTTCTATCTAAAGCATTTTATCTCCTTTCTTATTTCTTTTTCATTGAGCTGAGGGAGTGATTACTGTTCCTTGTAGGCTTGCTGTCCTTTGTTGAATGGCTTTTTAACATTTCTTAGCTCAAATGCAATCGTCCCTCAGAATCCTTATCATTTCTTTCCCATCATTCCTACTAGGTAGTTCAGTGAAACAGCATAATTCTTGCATTATTTGCTAGAATGCAGCAGAATTTGACTAACAGAATTCCTTGTTTTCATCCAATAATGAAAGCTCTCTGAGTTTTGGGACCCATGAAACTATTATCAGTGGCTTTAGGGACTCTCAGTATAGCTACATGTGTTGTTTCCAATATGTAGTAATTGCCTTTAATGAATTAAGTTATAATTTAGCTAAATGCGTGAAGTAAGGAGCCTCGCATTAACAGAAGTCTACATGTTAGGCCAGTGCTTCACTGCTTTCTTTATTCATGTTTATTGAAGTGTTTTCATGTGAAGGCATTTTACTGTACAAAGTTACTCTGTTTTCATATGAATAATTTAAACCCTAGAAGTTTGAACCTGTGTCTGGCTTAAGCTAAAATTCAGCTTTAATGTTACTATTAATAATCCTGTGGGCACAATCTTTACCTTAGGACTGGGCCGGAATCATGTTTGGCCACTAATATTTAAATCTCTGGATGAAGTCTAAATTGGGCCATTATTTTGAAATGCATTTTTTACTCCTTTCCTTTTTCTTTTACACACACACACACACACACACACACACACACACACACACACACAAAGCAGGATAGTTTAGTGGGTAAAGGCACCTGCTGCCAAGCTTGGCAACTTCAGTTTGATCCCTGGGACCCACATGGTAGAAAGAGTGAAGTGGTCCTTTGGCTTCCATACACATGCCATAGGATGGAGGCGTACACACACACACACACACACACACACACACACACACACTCTCACACACGTACACGTACATTTAGAGCTGTTTCCTTAGATTTCAAATTAGTCTGTGGATAGCCTGTTATATAAAATGATCCAAATAAGTATTTTTCTAGTTTTTTTGCTGAGTATAACTTAGTGCTTAACCTTTGTCAAGAGACAGAAGTCAAATGAACAGTTTCACCTAAGATAGTACCTTTTCTGTATGCAAAATAAAGTATTTGTTTGTGATGGAGTTGTAGAATACCACATTTTTTCCATGTCTTTTAGCAATATCCTTTTTGTTTAAGCTTTATGAAGAAATTTGAAAATCATCGCTTGACAGTTTTTGTTGTTTTCTTTTTTATTTGTGGATATCCCTGCTTTTTCTGTCCCTGTTTTACATTTTCTAAACTCATTAATAAAGATAGTTATGATGTGACTATTGTATCACTTTTGGTTGAAGATACTGATCCATCTTTGTTATATAAATTCAGTATAATTGCTGTTAGTTTACAATTGTTTAGGGGGGACTAAGGCACTTGTATTTCAGAAGACAGGTAAGGTAAATCCTTTTTTTCATTAGATCTGTATGTTAAAGTGTTTCTATATGTTAAAGTTTCTGAAATATGCATTTTATGCCTAATGGAAATTCTTGAGAAAGTGACTTAAAGCTAGGCGCTAGCAACTTTTATATAAAATACCAATAGTATTTCTCAGTTTTTAGGCCCTATGATCTTTACTCAGAAGTTGTAGTAAAAAAGCAATGGTACAGAAAAAATAATTGGCTTTGTTCTGATAAAATTTTATTTAAAATCCTTTGCTAATCCTTAACTTAAACCAGTTTCTTATGGTTTCGATGAGAAAGAAAACGTCATCCTAAATCCATGGTCACACATATGGCCCTAGTTAAACTCAGTGGGTCACAAAATGAAACAAAAACATATGAACATGAGAAAGAGAATTGTAAGTGGGAGGGAGGTAAGAGAGGAAAGGGGTGGTGGGTAATCAGAATGCATTCTATATGAGTATGGAATTACCAGAAAAACTAAGTAATAAAAGTGCTAAAAAACCAAACTATTTCTCATATCTTTAGTAAAGCTTCCTTTGCCCTTCTTAGATTATGTTGTTAAATTTTCCTGATAATTTTTCCTAATGTTTTATTCTATTTTCCTTTTTTAATCTAATCTATAATTCAGACCTCTCATAAACACAATAGTTTATATTTTTTACTAGTTATCTCAAGCAGAACATTTCCATTTTATTCATTCATTGAACAAAGTTTTACTAGCATTTTAGCAGGTGTTCAGCTAAATATCTAGTGAAGGGGGTACATAAAGCATGGTCCTCTTTGAAGCTTTCAATGGGAGAGGCAGATAATAGTTAGTGTAAATAGATCATTGTAAATCATTTAAACATAAATGCTCCAAGGTAGAAAAACTAGATGTTTAGATTGCTGGGCTTATTTTATATGATCATGGAATTCAGAACCTGATGATAAGATGAAGTTTGTGAGAATCCAGAGACACTGCTCCATTCAGAAGTAAACATTTGTAAAACTGTAAGGTAGGAAAGAGCCAGATCTGTGTAGTACCTTCTGGTGCCTGGCTGATATAAGTACATATTGGAAAAGTCGTCAGAATAAGGACAAAGAATGGGTTAAGGGAGTTTAATATAGGAATTTGCAAGCCATGTTCAGGATACAAGCTGATTTGACATGGGAATGGTATAACTGGTAACTGTTTAAAAGCTTGCCCTGACTTTCTATTATGAACTATTGCTCTTTGTCATTCACCTGTCAAATACTAACTGCTTATTCTGTGGTAGTTAGTGACACACATTCTATGAGGACTACAAAAATGACCCTGTCCTATCCTAAATGTCTCATAGTCCAGGGCTAGCTTTCTCATGTTCTCCTGTTCATCTGTTACCATTCTCTCTGTTACATGGTCATATGTGGATCCATTAAAGATTGCAGAGATGGCCCAGCAATTAAGAGCATTAAATAAATGACATGGGAAAGAGCTACCTTAATACTTCTATATTTCTGTTCATTCATGTGTATATTGATGAGTTTTTGTCTTACTAGAGCACTTGAAGTTTTGAATAGAAGAGATTTGAAAATGCTGGTGGATTTTGTTGTTTTTCATAAATTAGTGTTACCCACAGTAGAGTGGGTTCAATTTTTGTACTTTCCTTCGTTATCTTATGTATTTCCTGTTCCTCTTCCATGGTAGAATTTCTGGGTGTTATCAAGGAAACCTATCAGCTGAACACTGCAAATTAAATTCTAAGCACTTCTGATGCCCACCTGTAATCTCAGCACTTTAGAGGAGGCGAGAGGATCAAGATCCAGAATCATCCTTAGCTACATGGAGTTCGAAGGGCTACAGAAGACCCTTCTTTAAAAAAAAAAAAAAAAAGCCAGGCATGGTGGTGGATGCTTGTAGTCCCAGCACTTGGGAGGGAGAGGCAGGCGGATCTTTTTGAGTTCAAGGCCAACTTGGCCTCAGAGTGAATTTCAAGCCAGGGCTACAGGGAGACGGCTATTGGCAGGTCAAAAGCTGCTGCCTAGCTGCATGTTTCTGACTGCATAAGTCTCTTCTTAAGGCAGCGCACAACATGACAGTCGACTCATCTTAAAGTGAGAAAGAAAGAGAGAGAAGAAAGAAAGAAAGAAAGAAAAAGAAAGAAAGAAAGAAAGAAGAAAGAAAAGTAATATTTTGAAATAAATAAGGAATAAGTACCCTAGAAGGAGTACGAGTTTGTAAATAAGGAATAAGTACCCTAGAAGGATAGT